CCAACTTGAATTCTACTATTAACATCCCCATCTATATCACCAAAATCACCATAAAATCACTTTAATATAACCACGAAATCATTACATTACCTTCATAATAACCCCACATAAACACATCAAAACCATCACAATATAAACAAAATATAACATTAATTCCACATTAATATAATCACAATACCACTCCAATAACAACATAAACTATTACAATACCACCAAAATTATTGGACAATACCCCAAAAAAACATCTTAATACCACCAAAAATCTTCACAATACCCTCTCAATAACACAATCTAAACAAAAAAACACCAACACAATATGAACAAATTACAACCTCAATCTCACCTCAATACAACTACAACACCACCACAATAACACAATAATACAACCACAATATTGCTCCAAAACACCACAATGCCGCCACAATAACATCACAAAACCATCATGAACCAAATACAACCTCAATCCTAACTCAATACAATCATAATACTGCTCTAATAATACCACAAATTACTATAATACCACAAGAATAATAGGACAATATCACCACAAAATTACATTAATACTACCATAAAATCATTACAATACAACCGCAATAACACTGCAATCCCACCACAAAATCACCATAATATGAACAAAACACAACATCAATCTCACCTTAATACAACCAAAATATCACTTCAATAACACCATAAACTGCTATAATACCATCATAATAACATGACAATACCACAACAATACTATTAAAAAAAGATCACTATACAATCCCAAAATCATCACAATACAAAAAATATCAACAATAACAATGCACACCACAAAAAAAAAACACATTAACACCAAAATAACTCCACAAAATCACCACAAAACATCATAAAACTAACATAATATCATTGATTTTGAGTACAAAAAAAATCAAACAAATATAAATTAATGTCAATATTTGAAACAGAGTTAAGTTCACATCTATGATTTTATCTTCAATTTTTCTCACTAAGGTGCTGTTAACAAATAACACATGATTATCATCTTAGTCTTAACTGAAGCCCCAAAAGAAGGAATAAAATAGTGAACCGGATTTTGAACTGTGCACTGTACTAATTTTTGGGTTAGTTCAGGCCGGTCTATCCCTAAAATATATCTCTTCAACTTTCTATTTTCAATGGGTCGAATATTTTAGGGATGGTAAAATATCATTGGAGTCCTCAGGATGCTCAAGTACGTCTGGACTGCTCGTGCAATATTCTTCTTTTTGGGAGATCCACCCTTGAGTCCTTTCGGCTGGCGATGGAGAAGCTTAGGGCTACCGTGGCCCAAATCGCCGCTACAACCGACGAGCGGCTATCGGGGCTTCATTATTCCACCACCAACTATTTTTATTTGTAAATATTTTTCCTTTTGATTCTCCAAGAACATATTTTGCTACATGTTTAATAGCGTTTGTTACATTTAACAAACTGTACACGGAAGAAAAATTGTAAATTAAATAGATGAAGAAAGGTTTTAGATGCTCGGATTTGGATTAGTAGGAACACATTGATTCTTTGATTGATACATGATACCATCCTCAATTTTTTCGTGATATTTTTCTGATGAAATTTTGTTATAACAACAATGACCGTCCCTATTTTAGGCTAACAATTTGAGATTAGAATTCCAGAAAAATAATATTATGCACTCCAAGCAGTTCTCAATATCCATCCCTTGATACTATGGGCTCCCATACCATGCTCATTTTTTGGTTGGTTACTAAAATCTTAGCAGGGAGTTTTTTCTTTATTGTCAAAATATCTATATCATCTAGATTGCCATTGTGTGATAAAGCGGAGCCCAAATAGTTTGGAGAAGATTAATGGTGATTATGATGTAATCATGCTTTTACTTTCTGCCTTTTTTGAAGAGAAATGTGGTTATTCTCTTTTGCATGTATTTATTATTGTTCCTAAGATTGTTTATCTTTAAAGAATGTATAATGTCAAGTGATCATCTATCATGCAGTATTTCTCACAACTTTTTTGTTCTGACCATTTATTCATACATCTTTCATTTCTGCAAGCTTTCAAATAGATCATATCTTTGTCTCTTAGTATTTAATACATTAATCCTTCTATTACATCTTCCGACCACTTTAGAAATGGTGTCTTATACATTTCATTCACCACGTCATGTTCTTTCGAATATCTACCTTAATTTGCTGCAGGTGCTCGCTAGAAAGTATCATACGTCGAAAATCACAGATATCTCTGACCTTCACTCTTTGACGACTTTTGGCTTTCGCGGAGAAGCACTGAGTTCACTCTGTGCCTTGGGTACTTTGACTGTTGAAACAAGAACTAAGAACGAGGCTGTAGGAACACATTTAACATTTGATCATACTGGATCAGTGATTTCAGAAAGAAAAACTGCACGTCAAGTTGGCACCACTGTGGCAGTGGAGAAACTGTTTTCCACTTTGCCCGTGCGTAATAAAGAATTCTGTCGTAACATCAGAAGAGAATATGGAAAGCTAACTTCTTTGTTAAATGTGAGAAAGCCTTTTTTTTATGTTCATTGGAGTTTTTTGTAAAGATATTTTCTTAGTCCTATTTTTTATGCTTAAAATTATGAGAAAAAATTTGAAACTTTTATGATCCTCTCCCCTGTTCACGTATTTCGATGTCTCCTCTTTTCATGTTGTTCTGAATGGCACAGACTGGAAGGTCTGATTTTTGGCAATACCCTGACAATTTTTTTTTGTTATAATTAGTCTTCTCCGACTATGTTTGCTGTTTTTACTGAATGCTCCATATTTTTTTTCACCTTTTCTTTTTATGTTTGACAATTCTTCATTTCCATTACTGTTTAGGCCTATGCTCTCATGACTAAAGGAGTTCGTTTTCTTTGCACCAACATAACTAGTAAAAATTCGAAATCGGTGGTGTTGAAAACTCAGGGAAACATCTCAGTCAAAGAAAACATCATAACTGTCCTCGGTTCAAACACTTTCCAATGTCTTGAGCCTTTGAGTATACATATATCAGAACACTGCACTGTTGAGGGTTTTTTATCGAAACCTGGTTATGGTAGCGGCCGAAATATGGGAGATAGGCAATTCTTCTACATTAATGGTAGGCCTGTTGATATGCCAAAAGTGAGTAAACTTCTAAATGAAGTATATAAAAGCTCAAATTCCAAGCAGTATCCAATCGCAATTATGAATTTTATCATACCAGCGACATATTATGATGTCAACGTAACTCCTGATAAGCGGAAGGTTTTTATTAGCGACGAGGGCTCAATTATGATTTCGTTGAGAGCAGAAATTGAGAAAATTTACTCGCCACATCAATGCAGTTATTCTATCAATAACATCACAAAGTCCTCCGTAGAAACCAATGTATATATGCAGGATGATGTTGAAGTAGATGCTATTCAGGATCCTAATGTCATGGATTTAGCTGGCTCTACTGATCGGGGTTTGGATGATGATTCCCCAATGACCTTAGAAACTGGTAACCGGTACATTGACAATGAAAGCATGTCTGATTTTGATGATGACGGCCCTCCTAGAAAGTTCGTAAAAAGTGTTGATGAAAGTAAGTGTAATCGCCATTTAAAGCAGTCAATGTATGCCAAGTTAAATACGAATGTTGATGAGAAAGTCCGTTCAAAGCTTGTTCGGTCATCTCTTTCAAGGTTTTGCCATGTAAATAAGAGGAAACATGAAAATAGTTGCAGCATGTTATCTGAAATGCCTTTGTTACGGGATGAAAGAACTTCCAGACAAATTAGCAAAACTGGTTCGGAAAAAAATGGTTCGACATTAATAAGGAAAATTCATATTTCAGAAGATGATGTATCAGTTTTTAAAGCAGATAGATCAGAACATAATCATGAAGCCTATAATGACTCCAACAAGGTGGATGGTTTTTGTTCATTACAACCTAAAACTTGCAATAGAGGTTATAACAAGGTACATTTTTCATTATGTATTCATAATCTATTAGTACTTTGGTTACATGTATTGATAAGTTATTAAAATGTGGTCATCTACTCATTAATTTATTCTTCATACATTGTAGTTCCTTTTTGAGACATTTCTTTCGTCCTGTGTTGAGAGCTGCTTTTACTAGCTTAGATGCACTTGCCTGCACGCTTTCAAATTCAAAGCATTTTGAAATAAGTTCTTTATTACTTTTTGTCTCATTTGACCCCAAGACTGTGTTTAGTTTTATTTGCTTAAATTATAACTATTTAAAGTGAAAATTTTCAAATGGCTATACATATATAATACCATGTGTTTGTGCTATGTGAGTCTAGTTTAGGTCAAAAATCCTAACTTTTAGGTCAGGTGTGGGCTAACCCACTAACCCGAAATTGATCCGCCAACTCTAAATTGATTTGAATGTGATTCCTCAATTCATATTGGACTCAAATGATTGTTATGCATATATTATGTGAGTTGGGTTCATGTTAAACTTTCTGATATGTTTAATATTTGAGTCGGGTTCGGTTTAAACTTTTTGATATGTTTAATATTTGTGATAGGTTCCGGTCAAACCATTTCGGATCAGGTCAATTTAGGGTCAAACCTAAACCCGACCCACTAATCTATTTTGACACCTTTATAGGTAGGTTTTGATCGATCCGAGAAAATGCACATGCAATAGTATTTTCTTGCTTTGTCGGAATGATGCATTTAGGCGCTTAAATTTTGGGGCATGATGCTCGCTTTAAACTATACCTTACATGTGTTGCTATAAACTTGGTGATGCAGTAATGAAGTTGCGAGATCAAAATACTTTTTTTTTCTATTCTTTCCTTCATTCTTTCTTTTATTTTCTTTATTGTCTTTTTTTTTTTTTGCTTTCTCTATTTAGAGAGAAAGAGAGAGAGTTACAAAAAGAAAGAAAGAGAGGGAGAGAGGGAGAGAGAGAGAGATAGCAAGTGGTGGTTTGGTAATAGCCGGATTTAAATATGATTTAATCTAAATCACGTGAAATAAGAAAAATGTTTTCTTTAAGTTTTACCAAAATTTAAATCATGTTTCTTGTTTATTTTGATTTGAAAGAATTCAGTCTTATTATATTTATTATTATTATTTCCTTAAAATTAGTGCTGAATGGAGCTCATGTCTTGCGGATAACTGCAAGAATATGACTTCCAAGGCCCAAGTACTAGAGAATGGAAGGAATGATTTTTTTTCTTTTTTCAAATAACGGGTCAACATGGATCTAACTTGATGCCATGTATTGCAAACTTTTATTTTTTTATTTACACTTGGCGGTCTAGTTGATGTTTCTCTAGCCTTCTCCAATGAGGTCCAATCATGATTTCTTTCGTCTTTGTAGTTGAACATTTTAGTTAGTGAGTGATGGAGAGGCAGGGGAGCAATGACATTGATGGGATTGAGGGGAGTGGAGGTCAATCTTATTTGAGGAAGTGCTTAGGGTATCGAGGTGGAAGTAGTTACAAAGAAAATTTAGAAAAAGGTTAGACATAGGGATTCAAATGAATTGAATCTAAGTATTCATGGTTGAGTGCAAGCTCAATTTGAGCGTTTGCATTGTTGTACAAGCTTAGCTTGTTTAATATTATGTTTGTTAGCTTGTCAAATGAGGCTAAAATAACGATGTTTGAGCTTTACTTGAGATTAGCTTTTTAGCTGATCAAATGAGCTTCATAGAGCCTATATGAGCAACATTATTGAGTATCTTTATAGTTAACTAAATAAGTTTTATTGAGTCTATTAATGAGCTGCCTATTATGCAGAAAAATTAGACTTTAATGAAATGAACTATTTGATAAACAAGCGTTAAAATGAGCTTAAATAAATGGATTGTGTTCATCAACAATAAGACTCAATTCATTTGAAAAAATAAGACTCTCCCATCATAACATATTAAATAAATTTGTATTGAGCTTTAAATATTCTTATTATTGAGCTTTAATTAGGCTTCTTAACAAGTTTGTTCATGAATCTAAAATGATAGTATTTATGATCATAACTTAATTTTTTCATTCATCAATTGAGCATTCATAAAAAGGTTCAAGCTTGTTCGATTAATTAATTAAACAATAATAAACGATCTCTACTTAAGCTAAATTGTAAATAGCTTTTCGAGCAAATTAGTTTATTTTTAGCTTTATCTAGGTGCTAGAGCTTTTACTTGTTTTTCATTTTATTGTTTTCAATAAAATGAAATAAAATAAAGGATTGAGCTTGACTTCATTCAACAAATGTGATATGAGGCGTCAAATCATAAAAAAATTGCATGAAATTCTATTCAGTTCTGCCATCCTTCAATATTTTATTTATAAATTCCTTGTCCATAAAAAATTTATGGTTTTTTTTGTTCATTATTTTTTTATGGAAAGTTTTGATATCCAGCACTCTGAATTTGATGGCATACAATTCAGAATTTTGTACAAGTTGACTGAAATACCATTTTCTAACAAACCCAAGTTACCTCTAGCTCAGTTCCTTAATGGCTTTCTAGGTTCAAGTGAACTAATTAATCACACGAAACTGGCTCTGAAACTTTGACTGAACCCATCCCCAACCTTAGCTCTGGCTATAATAATTTTCCTCACACTCTTTGCCATATTTGTAGACTTCTTAATCAATCTTAGCTAAATATTATAACATTCCAAATATGAAGCCCATTTACCCTTCCGGTCTCTACCAAACATTCTATTATTACTCTACTTGATCTCTTGCCAATTAATGCCAAATTTTTCAAAATGTTTTTTTTCCACTCTACAGTTTCTAGTGATTCAAATATCTTGACTTTTTTTTTTTATTATCAATTTTCCATTATAATTGTCAATCTCTTATATTCCTCTAAGGACATTTTTCCAAGGAGATATCAGCGCATATTTGAGAGATCCTCACTACAGTCTCAATTGTATGCTGATATTATCATCTTAGCCAGTATAGTAATTATTGCAAAACCTATTATTCACATGATTATTATGAACATTTTGATGATTCTTACTATTATTTTCTGCTTAAAAAAATACGATCCTACTATTCTTTTTAATTATGTTAAGCTTTATAGTCATTATTATAAGAAATATCAAATTTCATGCTCTTCCTACTCCCATTAATACCAATGATCTCACTGTCCTTCTTTTCATCATCACCAACTTTATTATTCACTTGATTTATATTATAATGCCTATCACCATATTCCATCAATTGAAATTATTCATGAAGCACACACATTATTTGTGAATTATTTATCATGATTTTTAAAGGGCAATGTATTTTTCTTATATAAAACCATCACTTATATCCCGTTGACTCTATTTGTCAAATTTTATGCATCCAATTCACATAAAAGCTTGATTGCTGCACTAAACTTGATGCTTGAAAGGTGATGAAGAATGACTAAAGATGGCTAAAATAATGAGCTCTCGAATGGTTGAAATACTAATCATCTTGGTGATTAGGAAAGGCGGCAGAGGAGATTTAGGGCATCTCAGTCACTATCCTAAGAGGTTCAACAATCATAAGTGAGAAAATTATGTTGCTTGTCTTCAATTCTTCAATAACATATTGTTTCATATAATTCTAAGACAACTTTTTTATTTTAGTGGTTTCTCAATACATGTCTACAATATCCTATATATATATATATATATATATATATATGTAAAATGTCTAAGACCATCGAAGAAAAACTATTGTGCATCATTATTATATATTGTTGATTGTCAGAATTCAACATAATGATTTTATTAATTTGAAAAAGGAGTATAAATACCCTTACATGAATCCTAGAATAAGAAAGACAAAAAAATGAAATAACGTGAAAGGAAAGACATAACACCTATATCTCCAATTAATTAATTTATAATAATTATTTGGAGATAAAGAAAACGATATAAAATTGAAAAGCCTAAAATGAGAAAGGAAATAAATCTAATCCAATGAAATAAATCTAAAATAGGAAAGTAAAGAAATCTAATCTTCATAACTTTTACAAGAATAAATTATTTTCTAATATAACTTCGAGCACTTCTCTCAAGTTAAAATATGGTTGACAATCATGTTCAACTTGGATTCGAAAATATCAAATAATGGTCGAGCAAAATTCTTTGTGGGGTAAAACTTGAAATCTTCATTCCGTACTTATTAATCAACCCCAAGAGCATTTAGGAATATTTTTAGTTGACTGCGATTGTCTTTGATTGCAGTTTTTACTGTAGGTATGTGGAATGCTCGTACTGGTAATGTTGTGAGGAAGTTTGCAGGGAAGTAAACAACTTACATGTAAAGCTCTAGGGCATGGTCTGTAAGGAAAAAAAACTCTGGAGGAGGGTCAAATACAGGAAAAAACTCAGGAGGAGGGTCTATTGCATGAAAAAGCTCCAGAGGAGTGCCTGCTGCAGGAAAAAACTCTTGAGGAGGGCCTATTGCAGGAAAAAGCTTCGGAGGTAGGGTTGTGGCAGGAAAAAGTTCTGGAGAAGGCCTTGTTGCATGAAAAACTCCAGAGGAAGGCTCTAGAAGAGGGCCTGCTGCAGGAAAAAAAGAAAGAACACTTGACAGTGATTTTTCTTCAAGAGGTTCCAAGCTCACACCTCCGCCTGCTGAGATGTGGCTCATCTTAACAACAAGCCCAACTCTCTCCACGGCGGCGACAAAGTTTCCCCCTCCGATGATGGTTGCGACACCTTTTCCACAAAGCTCGACCAATTTTTGGGCAATGCATGTGTTCCAAAAGCAAACTTCTCAAACTCAAAGACACCCATGGGCCCAATCCAGATAATGATGTTAGCACTGTCAAGAGTTCCGTTGAATGTCTCAATGAAATCTTGTCCAATATCAAGGTCCATCTGGCCATCATGGATGGCAGATGCCGGCAAAACCTTGCTGTGGGCCTCAATGACATCGGGGGTAACAGGAGTTTCACTCCTTTCAGCTCTGCCTTCTCGATAAGAGCTATTCCTGGACTAAGCTTATCTTCC